TTTCCCTTCTTCCTTCTCATCTGTTCATTTTAATTCCGATCTTTTCTCTTGTTTCTGTAACTTCATTCTCTTTTTTTGCGTTTTGTCCTTATTTTTTGTTTTCTCTCCATTTATTGACGTAAAATATTCCTTCGTTCCTTATTTTTATTTTTTTCGTCTCGCTCATCTCTTTCTTGTCTTTTTCTTTTGTTCTTTTCTACTTTATTTTATTCCTCTCTCAACTTCTTTTCTATCTTCCATATTGCTCACATTCTTTCCCTTATACGTATCAAGGCCTTCTTGTCTACTGTCTGCATCAATCATCATGTCCCATTATCCTTCCGTATTACGACGCAACATATCTGTCATAATGATCGGCTCTCAGACGATTCCATTTCACAGATATTTTGCACAAGAAGTTAGCGTGCTTCAGGAATGTACTGGAACCTGAAATACGCCTTATTCGTTGTTCAAGGCGACCGATAGCTTGTTCTGCTAGCACATTCGATTTCATGTATAATTAAATTGGGTCACAGTGGCCGCGCGGTCTGAGGCGTGGGTCTTGTGCCCCTTTGTCACTGGGACCGTGGGTTCGAATCCCACTCAAGCCATGAATGTTTGTCGGCGTTTTTCTGTGTCGTGCTGTCCTGTGTACAGATAGAGGCCTTGCGACGGGCCGATCCCTCGTCCAAGGAGTCCTACCAAAATGTCTATAGATCAAGCCAACGAAAAGTTGGTACCCGCAGTGCTCAGGCACTTGAAGAACGGGTCGTTCCCAGTATCCCCAGTATAATTAATAAAAAAGACATCTGTACGATGTGGTCAGTAAGGAGCATCGCCATGCGCGAATGGGGACTATAATCGACCTTCTCGCCCTGGTCGTTCTGGACTCGATTCCTGTCCGGGACACTTGCTGTCCCGGTCTGCACCTTGGAACGCTGGCCGTCACAGAAGCTGGGTTCCTCGACCCTGAAAATGAACTAGGTCTAACCAAACACATGCCATCAGAGGCGATGATGAGTTTCTTGACTGTTTAAGTGACTGTTAGCTTCTCAAACAGAACTCCTCTTAATTAAATTACTTATTTGTAACCATTTTTAATTTCAAGTACTATACTTCAGTGCCTCAAATTTTCGATTAAACACCGGCCTGGGTTTGAATTTCGGCCAGTGAGTCAGTCTCAGTCTTCGGGCTTCTTTACCCCCGGCAAGAAGATTCCTGTGTCCCATTGTCACACGAAGCTTTTCCACTTCATGTTAGGCTTCCTGTAAAACTTCTCCGTTTTATAAACTCAATCAAATGTCTTCGCAGAGCAGCTGACAGCTTCTACGACCGTCTTTACCACTTTCGCAAAACGCTCGAAGGATCTATTGCAGTCATAACTTAAATATCCAGACGCTGCTTCATGAAAATATTCTGTGGATTGTGAGATGTTGAGTGGGCAGGTCGTAGCTGCCTGGTATCGCATCTGCCCACGGAAGCCCTCTGAACTTTGTCCTTTGACCTACGTCATAATACTAGGGCTGCAAGGTCACGAAACGGTGAGGGGGGCAGGCGGTCTGCCCGGTTTTGATAGCAGATGCAACCGGGTACATAATTAATTTCATTAGGCATTTAAACATTCCGGTTTCCCGTATTATTCTTAGTGTCCAGATCGCACCATAATTAGAAGTTCAATGAGTTGTGCCCATCACCAAATATTATAAGAGGTTGAGATGGGTGGATATTTGGTGAACGGAGTGGGGAGACAGCGTCTCTTTTTTAAAAGAATTAGAATGTGGACAGGTTTAAGAAAATGTAACAAACGTAAGGTCTCTGATTCTTTTCACTTTGTGATTTCTGTGTGTGATATATCCATGACATTTGACGGTTATATTTGATTCAAAAGAATTGTAATATATTCTTGTTCTCTTTTCCTGATTCCAGGTGCGAGGTATTGTTGAATGACAGCAGAATGTCGCCCTTCCATCTGCATTTAGAATCTGGAGCTACAAAACCTGGATCACGCGCCACGGGACTCCCAAGTGCTCTCCCTCAAGAAGAGAGGGGAAACGCAAACAGTTCCTCATGAAACAAAAGAAGTTCCCCTTCTTAGCGTAGCGCAGGAACAAACCGAGAGTTCAAAAAGTAGACCAGCCTGCTTGCTGTTGTAGAACTGACATTGGCTCCCCTGTCTACATGTTCTTGGAAATAAGGACCGACTGCGTTTTCGAAGACTGAAAAATCGCGGTATTCTTCAGGTGTTTTTTTTTATTTCGCTGTTATGTGAGTTTCAGAATACGGTGCTTTTGAGCCCTGAGGTAAACCTTTGAAGATCTGTGAAAGTTAATTGATTCGGTAAGGTTTTGTGATAATCGCTTTTGTTTCACGTGTGGGATTCTTGGTTTTGTATTAGCTGCACGTTCCAGTATGACTGTGATTTAATTTTGAAATTGAATTTTGACATTTCATCCCTCTGATACTTCAATCTCCTTCAATTTTGTAATGCGGCTTGCAGTATTTTGTTGTTTTTTTCTGCTTTTATTGTTGAAGGGAATAGCTTTCACTTCTGAATAATGAAAGGAGTACTTCTGATGAAGATAGCGTTTTTATGTCAGTGGTTAATGCTCTCTACTTTAACGTGTGTTCCAGTGTATTTGTAATCGGTCATATAGCTTAGTAGTTCACGGGAAAACCGCATTGAGAACGAAAGAAATGGAGCACAGAGAACTTTGCAAAAATATTAGATGATTGCTTAGTACTTAAAACTACATTTCCTATTGCACAAGATACAGCGTTTCAGAAAACGTCGGATGTAACATGCACAGTATATTGATAAATATCGGGAACTGATGTTTTTATACAAGGAATACTACCAGTATACCAGACTAGACCATATACCATAGTCATGGCATTAGCTAAAGTTAAAGTGAAAAGGTGAAAGGTTACAGTGGACATTTGAAAGTGACCTTGTAAGCACATTATTCATCTTGAGCTACCTCGTTGATTGTGTAGCCTAGTGATGACCGTGTAATGTTAAGCTGTATCTTTGAATGCGAGTGTAATACCTATTCTTTGTTCATATTCTAGCATAAATCAATGCGATTATTAGCAAGGGCAATACGTTTTAGACCTCTTTTCGTGACGAATAAGCAGATTTTAAAAATTGTTCATGCGCACGAGAACATTGCTTTGGTTGCAGTAAGGTGAAGGCCATTCAAATCAGTGTTTATAGTGCAAAGGGCAAGGAGTCTGATTTTCTTAATGTAACTGCCGGGAGTGTTTTTCGAGTTAGGACCGTTTTATATATTTTTAGTAGCGTTTACGTGTTTGGTGGATTTTATCTCAGGGATGTGGAAAATTTTTATAAAATTACCGGTGAAATTATTCGTCGTATGTATGTGTTATAAGACTGTAAAATAAGGTGATATCTGCTAGCAGATGTGAATAACTGTAAAATTAGCAGGCGAGATATGAAGATCATTACAATATTACGAGAGTAAGAAAATCTTTGTGAAGTTGGGTGCAAAGTAAAATGAGATCGTGAAGTGGATGGAGGAAATCAAAATGTGTAATTTCGGGGTTCAAGAAATTCGTGTGTTCAGTGTGTAAGTGTTAAGTGATCGGCTGACGTGTTGCGCGAGACAATACAGTGATCTGGAGAAACAGTTACCTGGAACCATGATGACCGGATACAGCTATCCGCACTTCATCCGCGCCCTGTGGACAGAGCAAGATAAACGGACCCTCCAGGTTAGTACCTTCATAACGATTCTATCCACCACGAAACATTTAAGATATTGCATATGTCTTACCGGGTCGCTGGGACCGTGGGTTCGAATCCCACTCAAAGCATGGATGTTTGTCCGCGTTCTTCTGTGTTGTGCTGTCCTGTGTACAGGTAGAGACCTTGCGACGGGCCGATCCCTCATCCAAGGAGTCCTACCAAAATGTCTGTAGATCAAGCCACTTGGAGAACGGGTCGTTCCCAGTATCCGAGTACGAGTACGTATATGGCTTACGAGGTGAATAAAGGCGTAGATGGGATGATAATATTAAAGTCGGTCTTAAAGAAATAGGGTTTGGAGGTAAGAACACGATTTGTCTTTTTCATGATAAGGACCAGTGGAAGGCTCTGTTGAACACGATAATGGACATTCGTGTTCCATAGATGAACTGAGCGATTGCTAGATTCAGAAATCGACTCTGCTCTGCGAAGTTTATTGGACATTGTGTAAATTCCTTAGGCACAGAAAGTATACAATTTTTGCTACGTTTCGTTTTCAGATATAAATTCGCTGTTTTTTAAGTGATCTGTTGGACCTGTAGCTTAAAATTAAGTTTTTGTAAACGTATTTTCAAATCGAGTTAATATGCTACCTTTTATTATTCTTACATCCAGTACGTGTTTCTTAACGTTGTGTTCAGGACGAGAATACAAATGCCACCATTGGTGATCTACTTCGGTACTTTACAAGACTTAACGACTTGGTGGAACAGAACCGGATGATCCGATTCCTGTGTGAATTTTCTATTTTTATTCTAATTACCAGAATAAGGTCGTTATTTTTCTGGTAACTTGAAATCGATGTCTGGGATGTATCTCTCTCACAAAGCTACGCAGTATACAATATTTGCGTTGCCACTTAGTACAGAAGCTACGTTTAAAATATTTCGAATTCCCAGTTTGCTGTTGATAGATTACCACACCAAATTTACAAAATATTCAATTTAAGAATCTTATAATAAATTTTCATTACATTGGAGAAGGAATGCTGTGTTTTGACACAACAGTTAACAGAACACTTAGTACGGCTAGCTGCTTGCTTTGAGGTCGATACTTTATATCGATCAGAAGGGTGGTGAATGCATCGCGTGCAGTAGGGTCCGCAGGGGCATCTCCTTCCCTCGACATGCGTATCATTTCTTGTTCTTGACGTCCCCCCATTCACAACAACCCTAAGGCGCGCGGCTGTTTCCAGCTGCTCGTCCTCGGGGGGGGGGGGGGGAACTTACCCTCTTTGTATGAAGGGACGTCCCGCACCCCGTCTCGGCGAGATCGACTGGACCTGTAATGGTGGATATTGTTTTCTTCTGGATTTGATGTCGACAGGAATTTATTTCCGTGTCATATACGTGTTTCTCAAGTCAGTGATATCAATTTCTGGCAGGCGTTTCAGTGAAGATTTTATTTAAAAATCGAATTAATCGTCCTCAAACTTGATTTCATGGTGTACAACTGACCACCAGCCACTTCCCCGGTGGGTTAAGACGCGAAATTTTATTTCTGGTCGCGTATACTTCAGCGCGGTGCATGCATGTGACGATCCGACACTGGATTGCATCCATGTTGCAACCAGACGAGCTCCTTTGCAAAGATGAACTGATATTTACTTTGTATTTCTGTTGCAAGTACTCGAATTTTGGAGATCCTAATGGCATAGTTGATGCCGCTGCTTAATTAAACTTTTCGCCGTTCAGAAGGATGTGCAATCGTAATCTCGGCAAGGGATGGCGGCCCGGCCGCTTTACCTCGTAAAAAATAATTGGATGCCCATTGGATAGGAGTCTGGATGGGTCTCACCTCCTGTCTGGATAATCCGACGAAAAGAAAACTGCCTTTCCGGGAATCAAACCCCGGTAATCAAGCCCATAGACCAGTCACTAGCTGAACTACCCAGACTCCCGTTCTGGTTTATGGCAATAAGAAATTGTTGAAGAGCTGAATGAACATTGACTGCCGACGGAAGCCACGTGATAGGCTACACGTTTCATACCGACGTCAGAGAAGTTGCTACGGTCGATTTGATTGGACTAGAATGGCGAAGACTACCTGCAACCACGCGACATGTCAGAGTAATAGAATCCTGTTAACGGGGAGAAGCCCACCGACTGTCCCTAGTGGCACTTCGTGATCAGGTTACGAGATGTGTGAAAACGAGGTAGGAGAAAACTTCTTGTTTGCTTGTGTGAGGGAAGAAAAATACAGAAAGTTTTCAGCTGCCTCTGAACTTGGAAGCGCTTATCAACTCGTTTTGAGGAAAAAGACATTCTTGAGGGAAATAGAGTATTTTATGGCAATATAGTAAAGTGACTTGGGTTCAGTTCCCAGTAGAGACAACGATTATTCTCCGGGCATCACATCCAGACCGACTCCAGATCCAATAAGGCTTTGTCCCTGGGGAAAATCGGCTAAAGTGTGAAGGTGACAACCTTTTCCATCTAGTTTCGAGATCTCGAATCCACGGAACTTCTTTTCTTTTCCCCCCTTTCTCTAAAAAGATACTTTTATTCTAGATTTTATGATTAATCATTTAAAGTCCGAAAGTGACCTAAATAATATTTAAAAATTCAACTCCGTACCGCAAAGGAAACATTCGTCATTACAAACATCATCTGGTCAATGCTGGACAAAGAAGTAATTGCTCTTTGCACTGAGAATCATACGGAACCCATAATAAATACACTCTATGGTAAAACAGCAGAATTATTGAACATAAAGGAAGGTGTTACATTTAGTTACCTCTGTGCTTTGAAGAATTAGTGTACGCATAAAACACTAATAAACTATATTTAAAGCGCTATTGTCTTGTCTGTAGATTTATTGTTGGGCGTAATCTGTTGTTCCACTGTCACAGTTTCATGATTCTTCATGAAGATGGTTTTTAATAGAATTATTAGATCGATAAACGATAACTCAATTTCACTCCAGCATCACTACGTGTATGGTTAACGTATTAATATCGGAGTAATTTTGTTAAGGTGTAATCTCGGCTGCTTTAATACCAAAGCGGTTCATTCATGTTAGAAGAATGTTAATGTTGGTACAACCCTGCTCAAGAAGATTGGTGAAACTGCCTGTATTCTATTCTGTAGCCTCCGCAGACAATTTCTGTGAATATAACTTCAGAGCTACAGTTCGAATCGACTAGCCACTGAGTAGAAAATAAAAATTGTTGTATTAACGTGTGGTTTTGTATGGATATTGGTTTGTCACGTTATGGGGTATTAGGGTACTTTGAGAACGGGATCCTATCTAGAATATTTGAATCTAAGAGGGACGAAATACAAGAGGCTGAAGGAAATTGCGTAAAGAGAAGCTCGTTAGTTTATACTCTTAATCTGAGATTAGGACGATCGTATAAAGAAGGATTAGATGGATGGATGCATACACAATTTCAGTTACACGGTTACCATGGACGCTTCGCCCCTGAGTACAGATTATGAAGCTCCTCATTATGCAGTTTTATTCAGCCTCCTGTCACTTCATCCATTTTAGGTCCAAATATTTTCTTATGAATTTTGTTCTCAATCACCGAAAGTGAAACCAAGTGACGTATCCATGTAAAACAAGACGTCGTTCTATCGTTTAGCATTTTTGAAACTTTAAAGAGACTGGAATGTAATGTTGTTATGTAAATTAAGATCCTTCTCGCTTATCTGCAATGCGAAACTGTCTGAAGAGCAGAGCTGTGTTGCTTGTTGCAGGATCTGCAGGTGATCTACTATGGCCTGCAGGGGATGGAGGCGCTGTCCCCGTACAGGGACTCTGTCCTCAGGTCCGTCGCCAAGACTGCCCGATATGAGCGCCACGAGGCCAACGATGTGCTGTACTAGTGAGTACCAGGATTTGCTCTACTCTGATAAGCAACCCGAAAACTTCTGCTTACAAAACTTTGTTCATTAGTTTCACAAACTGAGATTTCAGGTTATGAAGATGGCTGTCTTCTGGGGTGTTGCTCCGTGTACTCGGGTCGAATTTTACAGACGTTTCTCGCCCTCATGATGGCGGAAGCTAATGCCCGGGGTTCGATTCCCAGCAGGGTAAATATATGTTGTTTGGTTTTGTCACCGCGTCATGTGTTGGCCACTGAGCGATACTGATGACTTGTCTCCGTCCCATCTCCAATTTTTTACCCCACACGACGTAGACGCCTTTTGGGTGGCCAGAACATGCCTTGGAACGGTAACATTAATTTGCAAGCGAAAATGCTGACCTTTTATTGTATAGTCATGAATGTGCTAGGTTATCACGTGTATGTGTTAATGGGTTCTCGTTAAAAGTGGTGGTGAGTTAATTGTTCCATATGTCGGTGTACCACTTGTGATTCCTTGTGGACGGAGGAAAATGTTAAAATGAATCTTAATATCGTATGTAGTGTAATATTGTTATCTGGTTAAGGATTGGTTTATATGGTTGACATTTTCGAGGAAAACTTTTTAATGAAAAGCGGGATTTTGACTAAAATTTTTAAAAAGTAACGGTACGCCTAATTTTAGTCTCCAAACTTGCAAGGAAGAGACCACTTTAGATACCTATGTGTAAATGGAAACCTCATGGTAATAATCCTTCGGGTTGCATAATGAGGCAGGGGGACCATGCCATTGTCGGCCTCGGAGTTAAGACGTCATTGGAAAAAAAAGAGTTCATTCTATGGATCCCTAGCCGTCACATACCAACTACAAAATATAGTTGACATTCCTCACGCTAGAGTGCGGGCATTGCTGTTCTATTCGCCATCTGGTGGAGAAAGATTCAACTAATATTTAAATGTGCGCATCAGCGACATATGTAGACGTCTGAGAAAATGCATGGTGCTGCAGTCTGTTGGCCACATGTAGTATTATACAAGGAATGCGAGAGGTCAACAAGGTGAACGTACCACCTGTTTCAGTGGTCACATCCCGTCATGAGCATTATTTGGTTCTCAGCAAGAGACCAAAAGGTTGTTCCGAATGGCGTGCATTGTTTGTAATTTTATTCAGTGTTTCTTTGAGGTGTGAATTTAATTGTTTAATGTCATGGATATGAGTTTTATATGCAAAGGGCTGAGACAGTCGTTTGTGTTCACAGATTGTATGTGTCTGTAAATTGTCACATTACCCAGATTTGATAATCTCGAATGTTATGAAACTTTGCCTCTGTAGTTTCAGGAAACACTTTCGCTCCTGAAATGTACACTTCCGTGTTCACCATAGCCAAAATTCTGTACATAATCCTCACCTTCCCTATGCATGCTACATGCTTCCCCAATTTCATCTCAATTCGTTCTAAACCCAGTTTTCCACAGTCTCCTGTCACTTCATCCCACTTTCGCCCAAATGTTTTCCTTTTCTCAAACACCGTCAATCGGTGTTTCTCCGCAAAAATGAGTAACCAAGTTTTGCACCGTCCATGTTGGCCTCGGTTTAGCACCACGTGGTCTTGTAGGTGGATACCAGCATTTCGGAGTAAGATATCATCTCCATATTCAGCTCTCCCATGGTTTGTTTATTTCGGTCTTTATGTTCGTAACACACGGACAGACATGAGTCTGTGTTCCTGAATTACTATAGAGCCCGAAGATGGCTCACTGCGTTGCCGTGTAGTCTGGTAGAAGTTTATTAAAGTTTCGGACACCCTCGATGCTTCCATCTTCGTACTCACCGCCGTGAGAACCTAGAATCCTCCTTACTACACAGTTGCATATTATTTTAAATTTGCTCCAGCATTAGCTTATATCTGACACAATTTTACCTGTAAAACTTACATTTTCCAGCGCGGCTTTTAAGTCAATAGCAATTTTACATGAAGAGACACGCGAGATAAGAATTATAATTTTTTTTAGGAGTAAAGAAAATAAATGAGCTTTAGCAACAAACAAATAATTCCACGAGCCTGGTCTGTGGATGGGCGGAAACATGAAACTTCAAATGACCGCGTTCTCCTTGGGATTGTGAACTGTTCTGAACTTATTTCAGTGCAGGACGCGTGTAGCTAATGTAATGCCGAAATTTGTTTTGTGATTTGTTGGATCATATGTAACTTAAAGCAAGAAGTTCTGTGAAGAATTTGTGTCCCATGAAGTATCAAACGTAAATTGCTCCCAGTTGTTACGAGTATTTTTAAAAGCGAAATTTTGTAAAATGTGTTTCTGTTTCTCACAAGCGCAGTGTTTTTTGTTCTCGAACTATCGATAAATGACAAAAAAAAAATTATGAATCAATTTTATTGCCTGAAACGAAACATGTATTAAACAGAAACGTTTTATGTTATTATAAATGCTATAAAAATACAAAAGAAAAAATTTACAGACTTATTTCCTGTAAGAAATAATGTGATCATATTCTATTCTTTTGTCATCTTCATCTGACTGGGCGACGTCACATCTTTTGTGTGTTAGTTCGCACGTTTTCGATTCTGATTAGAAGATTTCGGATATCGATTTTGAGTTCGGATGACGAACCTGACAGAATGTAATGCGTCTCATTATAAAAGTTTGTGCGAGCGAAACTCCGCAATGCAGATCTTCGTAGAGCGAGGGCTGACTGTATAGGTTTCTGCTCATCCAGCTCATTGTCCAAGTTTTGTATCTTTCCATTTCGTTTCCCGTGGTGCGATGCACACGACTCCCTGGGATGTCCCCAGGTCTTCTGAATAGAGCTTACGGTAGTGTCATTGTTCGGCCTCCTACTTCTCCGCATTTGTTAACCAATTGACCCCTATTGACACGGCACTTAATAACATCGTGGGCTACTCAACTGCTGTTATGTTATATGTGTGTCAAGAGTACTAGCAAATAATGTTTAATTCTAGAGTTAGGAATAAAATTTATACTAGACAGAAATCCACAGAATATTTCAACTGTAATGTTACGAATCATTCCGATACATAAAAAGTATGGTTCATAGAAGAGAACTGTGCAATGATTTGGAATAGATAGTTTCCGAATGCCTTAAGGCTTGTGGATCGCAGGTCACATTCTATTTCCCCAGTCTTTCCGTTATGGTATTACAGTTGATTTCATACGTAACAAATACAAATAACTATAAATTTAGGAATATAAGTTGGTGACGACGCACTGTCAAGTTTTACATAGACGTTCTCCGTCATTAAAATTAAAAATGTGAATATTGAAAACTATTAAGTATAATGGATTCTTAAGGGGTGAATCATACAATCTGGACGTTATAAAACACACAACGTTTCGAGAGCTGGATCCATCCTTCGCTTCACTGGACCAGCGGTTGGGATTAGCTCATTCTAACGGACCCCCTTAATTACACCTGGAGACGAGTGGGTGGTAAGCCGGATGGAATGGCGGGTGGTGGGTAGTTACTTAGTCTGATACTTAAATTCTTTGTTTGTTAGTTTTGTTACTAACCCCACGCTGTGTTTGCAGCACTGGTGAACTGTCCACCTGCTGGTACATCCTGCTTTCCGGATCAGTGTTCATTGACGGCTCAATGTTCCTGCCCAGATCAAGGTAAGAGTGGCTCAAGTCTTATAAAATATTGTGTAACAATATTGGCAGAGTGCATCAGTATCAGGCCAACTTCTTGTGCATGTACTGATGAAGGTCGCATTGGAATCTCGAAAACAAGCCAGTATATGAACCTGAGATATATTATTCGTTGATGTATGTCCGAAAACGTTTCGATCCACTTGGCATTCATTTTAATATAACCGTGTGCATAAGTGGCGTCCAAGTACATTCCTTATTATGTGATGTACCACTTTTGTAT